CTGATGCTCCCCAAAAGCCAAGTGCTAAGGTTTGGCCACCAGCCTATGAGTATGTTGAGAGATGGGTGATGCACAATCAGAGGAAGACAGGTAATTATGGGTAAGCACTTGAAGGAGAATCGGAACCCTAGCCCTTTATTCTTTCTCTCTGTTTCCTGGCTGGCAAGCCATGAACAGCTGTGCTCCATCAGGATCTCTACCATGACCCTCTGCCTCAGAAGAGCCCTCAGAACAATGGAGCCAAATGGGCTGTGGGCTAAAATTTCTGAAAAGAGAAGTCGAGGAAGACCTCTCCCCCTTTCGAACTGATCGTCTTGGGCGTTTCGTCACAGCAATGAGAAAAATGACTACACAGATTCGTTCTGCACCTTCAGCATCTATTCTACCTGTGTTACCAGCCATCGGCTGCCTGAGGCTAATTCGCTGCTGGTTAAAAAGGGGAATTCCCCTTCTGCCGTGACAACTTGAGACTGTGAAAATGACCGCCACTTGGAGTCAGGAAGCACTGTCTCGTTGCAAAGGATCGTTGGAGGTAGGCGGGCAGCTGCCTGTGGAAATTTGAGAGTAGCCTCTTGCTCCCACTCAGAAAGGATGGATGTTCTGGTAAACTATGCTGTTATCACCACACACAGGCAAAACAAATACCAAAGATGCTGTTCTGGAAGACCACACAGGAAACCAGTGTTGTCATAACTCATACCTGCTCTGAGGTTACGGTCTAGCAAGGTAAAGCCACAGTAGAGCTGACGTCATTGCTTCACCGCACACTCTAGCAAGACCCTGATGCTTTCCCATCGCTTCACCTAGAACGGTACCATGCAATTTGTGATCCGGATGTGGGGATTAGGACTCTGAGTCTAAGCATTTTAATAAGTTGCTGGTGAATTTTCAGATATTTTTCACATTTATTTATTGGAGGGGGGAGCATGTGTAGTGGTTTGAATAAGAATGTCCCCCATAGGCTCCTATATTTAATGCTTACTCACCAGGGAGTGGCACAGTTGAAAGGATCAGAAAGAATAAGAGGAGTGACCTTGTTTGCAGAAGTGTGCCACTGGGAGTGGTTTTGAGGTTTCAAAAATCCATGCAAGCCCAGAATCTCTCT